CAGTCTCTGACTTTATTCTGTTAGAGGACATAAGGTAATAGAAGGACAAACCTAACTCCATCTGATTTATAGTCTATCTTATTCCACAATATTGGGAAGAACATACCAAGTATAATCCTTACGGTAGAAATCACAAGGAAAATACACCAGCACTAGGAATATCCCTGAGCCTGATAGTAGTGCAATGAGGAATGCTTCAAAAGGTCAGATTAAGACATTTCTGGATGACTTCAAAAGGTAATGAAGAATGTGGGTTTGATTTTTGAAAGAAAAATTTGAGCAAGTCAGTGGATCAGGGAAAAGACTGCGGGGAAATAGGGAAGCCAGTCCTTTTTCATTCAAAACATGCATAAACTGATCATTAAGAATTGGCTGGAATCCATTTTAATATTAAAGTCTTGAAAGTAAGATGGTCTGGTAGAAATGGTAGCAATTAAATCACTTCATCACTAAAAATCACATTAAATCAAATTAAAAGGAGTTAAATTAGAGCAACCATTTACTTTATTTCCCTGAAAATCATCCTTAAACAGGTCCTCTGCAATGTGCACTGTATATAAATCGCATATGCCCTAAAAGTGGATGTACGTGTGTGTGTTAAACTACTGCTAACCTTTCGAAGATACTGTGTGACTTTGGATTTTCTTAACAATGCCATACTTTATCACTTCAAAGTACCACTGCTTTGTCACTAGGATAAAAAAATCACTAATCATACTAATTTGCTGTGTTGGGAGCATTCTTAAAAAGGTGCAGAGGAATCCCAAGCAAAACTACTCAAGCTGTGAGATTGTAAAAAAAAAAAAAAAAAAAAAAAAAAAAATTATATCTATATATCTATATATATCTATATATCTTCCTCCAATCCCAACGGTCTCCCTTTTGGGAAGTACTATCTATAGCTGGGACGCCATAGATCAGTTTTTTTCTCCCTAGAATAAGAAAACATAAGGAATGAGGCATAATGACCTAGCCCACTCATCCAAAGGACTGTGCAAGTTCAAATACAGCAAGAACTCCTTCGAAATACATATGCCATGTGCTTCTCTCCCTAAGAAGGTTCTGCCTGGATGAGTGGCCTAATCAGTTCGGAGAATGGAAACCATGTTAAACACTGAAACTGATGGTTTAAAATGGACTTAAATTTTAACAACGATATCCTAATTTGTGAAAAGAAGATAGAAATATAATATTCATTTGCATCCTTTCAATGTACAATAGTCCACAAGTGATCCACAAAAATGGATTAGGTGTTTATTTTTTAAAATCTTCTAATTTAATTAAGATTTTTTTAGAGAGAGAGGGAGAGAGAAAGAGAGCATGAGCAGGGGAGAGGGGCAGAGGGAGACAGACTCCCAAGCCGGCTCAGTGCTCAGTGTGGAGCCCAACATGGGGCTCAATTCCATGACCCTGGGATCATGACCTGAGCCGAAACCAAGAGTCGGATACTCAAAAGACTGACCACCCAGGTGCCCCGTAGATGTTTTTCTTTATTTTTTTTTGAACAAATTTTTTAATGTTCATTTATTTTTGAGAGAGAGAAAGAGAGAACAAGCAGGGGAGGGGCAGAGAGAGAGGGAGACAGAATCTGAAGCGGGCTCCAGGCTCTGAGCTGTCAGCACAGGACCCAATGTGGGACTCGAACTCATGAACTATGAGATCACGACCTGAGTTGAAGTCGGACACCTAATCGAGTGAGCCACCCAGGTGCCCCTTGATGTTTATTTTCTTAAAGAAAAACATCCATACCTGTTTTTCCGCCCATAACTGACACAGAAGGGTGACGTCTTCCCCCGCCCCCCAAACACCGTAAGAACGATTGTTCACTCATTGATAATCCTAGAACAAATCATTTAAGTCCTATTTCTGACGGCCGAGTTAAAAGCACGCCAACTCACAGTGCAGAAATCACAGTGCAGTTTCTTTATCATAGCAACAGATAGGGCTTTTTTTTTTTTTTACATGCCCTTATGATTTCTTCTTGCTGATATTAATAGTAAATGCTGAAATAGCCTATGTAGGCATTTGTTGGGCTGGCAAAAAGAAAGAAACTCTAATGCAAGTATTTATACCTTCTGCAATGAAAACAAGATATTATTGCTTTGTGTGACCTTTCCTAAGTATGGGATACAGCATTTTACACAATAGTTTCTTGGTTCGTGCTTCAATTACTGACCTTTACTGTGCAGAAAATTAATGCAATTTTCATTGTAATCCATCCTTACAAATAAGGTCCACATAGAAGAATTCCATATGTGGACTCTCATAGAAATCAGAAATGTCACCTGATTGCCGTTGGCTGAACTTAACCATTATCTGTTTGTTCAGGGGTCCCCAGCAAACTATACTTGTAACAAGCAATTTCTCGTGTGGGGCCATCAGGAATCAGAGAGGAAGATTTCCTCTCTTCAAAGGTTTAGTCTGTACTTTTAGTTTCCTAAAAGCCAAAAACCTAGTTACCTGAAGGTTCTATGGTATTTCTGAAAGTCTATGTACACACACACACACAAAGGGAGGCAGAGTTGTTCAGGCTCACTTGGCTTCTAATACCAGAGGTCCCCACCATGGACTTCTGACAATGAGAAGGAACAAGAGGCTACAGTGATGTCATTTTACAACAATCCCCCTTCCAGACCATAAAAGTATGACAGACCCCAGACCACGTCCTGGCCTGTGCATCAGAGACAGGCAGAAGACGGGAATGTGTCCATCTCCTGAGGAAACTCGGCCGAGAGGCCCTGATGTGCTTTCATCTTCCACAGTCCCTTGTGATGGTATTTGGTGGGAAGAGGCGCTGGCAATTAAGGAGTGTCACTTTCAAGATGGATAGTTTGGATAGAAAGGAGTTTCCTCTGTTCTTCTGGTTTGGAAGGAAACGGCTGTGTGTTTATAATTTGTAAACAGCCCATCGCTCACTGGGTGTGTTACTGTTCCCAGAAGCCTGGTCTGTCACATCTAACATGCAACAGGAGCCAAGAGGGCTCTGTGGGTAAGCCCTTCGAAACAGCACACTGTGGAGGGCAATAGCCCAGCGCCTGTGTGTGCAGGCCTCTGAGGGGCACATCTCAGCTGTGGAGGCTGCTGTATGCACAGAAATGATGGACTGTACTATATATGTGGATGACGTGGGCTCCAGAAGTTTTAAAGTTGAAAATCCCTCTATACTTTACAAATCTCGTAGAAAAGTGTGAGTGGAAAGGTACTGATAAGGACTGCAAAGTTTGCCAGTCTGCCTAACAGGTTGTGTTAGGCAGAAAGAGGCATATGGAGAAGTCAAAACTTCATTTTGGATTTATTCCTCTGGATGATTTCACAGACATATAAAATTGAGGAAGACAACATGCACGGCTGTGCTGTGGCTCTTCAAGGTCCTATGAAAATATTACAATCAACGTATCCTGAGACCAGAATTGCCCTGAAGGAAATGGGAAATGCCCCGATGCCAATGCCCTCTGTGTGGATGGGGTTTGGCCCATCTGCCGTGGGGAGGGCTGTGCTTGGATAAATGCAAGAGCTCCAAAGCTCGTCCGTGTAGATGCAATGGTTCTGACCCAGTTGTCCTTGTCTCGAAAGGCCTGAGACACAGCCAAACTGGTTTTCCCTCCAGACCCCCGGACCCCCCCCACAATCTTTAGGGCACCTCAGTAGAAGGTTGCATTGTGACAACCACCGGTCTGGACTCCACGGATGGAAGAGGCTGCCTGCTGGTTTACTGAAGCCCGCTTTCTCATCCCTTGCCTTCTTGCTGGATGCTCTCCTTTATCAGCTGGGCCACAGACACATGGTCACAATTATCTCTAAAGGGCAGAGGACTCACTCTTCCATGGAAGGCTCATTTTAACAGACAGAGCCAGACAGAAGGAAATCCTCCCCATTTCTGAGCCTTGGTGAATCAAATTTAGAATTCTGCTTGTAAAGGTTCAGAAGAATTTCATTAGCACTTGTGTTTATTTTGGTGAAACATCCCATCACCATGTATGTTCGCTTGGCTACAACTTTTTCGTGCTCAAGGAGTCACATCACTCAGAAGCAACTCCCGTCGACTCATCAGCAAGAAAGTTGTGTCTGCGTGACCTTGTTCTGTGAAGAGTCGATGCCGTTGAAAAAATATTAGAGTGTATTTTATTATTTTGCTATTAATGATCATCTCAGCACAACAAATATGATGTGCTCTGTAATCCGCCCAAGTTGTTTCACATGGGCAAAACCATCTGGCTTGCCCAATTAATTTTAAGGCTGTTTGTGCCACGGAGCCAGTGTTTTCTAATTCATTGCTCTTTTCTAGGCATTTTCTACTGGATACTTCACTCTTAAGATTCCCCCTTCTGCACCCTTTACCCCTCCGGCAAGCGTCCTAGACGCTACCATCTCGAACCCCATATACCCGCAGGTTCTAGGGGGCTGCAAGTCCATTAAACTGGTAAAATCTCATTTGGCATTTCACTTTTTTTTTTTTCACTATATTCCAGAAGGTTTGTCTGAAAGCGTAATGACAACAAAAGCGGCATATTTCAGAGATTCTCCCAGGAGAAGAAAAAGGACAGATGTACACAGACATATAGCTGCAAACACTGCCAGCAGCAGCTGCGAAAGTGACAGGCTCTGAAGTGGGTGACCACCCCACGGATCTCAGACAGGAGGCTAAAGGAACAGCAATTTCACTTGATTTACTTTGGACTTCCCAGACTACCTCGGATGTACCTTTTATACACCAGGAAGGCTCGCCTTCACTCTAGTCAAATGACCAGCCTCCCGTAGATTTGCTTCTTATAATATTTCAGGGACCCCTTATATTTTACTCCTTTTTATCCTCACTTAATAAGATCTTTAAAAAGTGATATCCTTTGTAAATTACAAATACATTACTATACCGGACACTCCATAATACCCGACCCCCCCCCAAAATAAAAGGGTTTGACTCAACTGGGTAAAACACTACCTGCTGACAAGATTAACGTTCCCTTTCATGAGCTTTCCTGAGCTTTCCTGAGCACACCCACCTTGTCATCGTCATACTCCTCTTCCTCCAAGTCGGTGCTCTCCTGAAAGAAGAAACCGCAATTTGTTACTATAACATCTGCTGAAATGACCAAATGCAAATGCAAATTAAACCCATACATACTTTTTGAGGTTTTCTACATAATTGAAGCACTGGTGTTTTTTTTAAATACATTATAACCTCTTAGAAAATAATGCTTTGGAAGTTCAGGGACTCTGCGGCAAGCCTATAAAACAGGATGCATCATCTACATAAAACTTAACTATAAATAAAGCTATTAGGCGAGTGCCCTTTGAAGGCATCCAGCTTTAAAAATGCATTGGCAGGCTGTACTTTCTGTAAACAGTTTGTTCTTATTCTGACAAATGAGCCAACTGCTATGTTAAGGCTGAGAACACTGTCCTCGGTTTGTGTGAGGCTCATTGTTATAATGACTGCGCTTCTCCTTTGGGGCCATTACTGAAACATTAGACAGTAGGAAATGCATTAGTCTGAATATAATCAATCTCGAGAATAAGTTACAGGTTTCTGAGCATTATTACTGTTTTCCTTGGGATTTGGGGAGGGGGACGGTGGGGGCAGGTGAGGGGACGAAACTCAGGCTCTGAGGGGGACTCACAGGCACCTGGCTTTAGTCTGGGGGGTGCTAAAGCACCAGGTGTGGGGAATAGGCTTGTTCAGACTGGCTTAGCGATCTTGGCTTGGGGTGTCTGGATGGCTCAGTTGGTTGAGTCCAAGTCTTGATTTTGGCTCAGGTCATGATCTCGTGGTTCTTGACTTTGAGCCTCACATTGGGCTCTGCATGGACGGTGTGGAGCTTGCTTGGGATTCTCTTTCGTCCCTCTCTCTCTCTGCCCCTGCTCTCTCTCTCTCTCTCTTTCTCTGTCTCTCTCTCTCCCCACCCCTCTCAAAATAAATGAACTTAAAAAAAATCTTGGCTATTTAGGAGATACGTTTCAATCATAAAACGGCAATATTTAAAAGCCAACACATGTTAGGACACAACCAATGGGTTCAGTAGCTCAGACAAAATGCTGGAGATTAGAAACCCAGGGGCGGTTTTGAGCTTGAACGTTTACCTTTCTGCTTAACCACCTTGCAAAGGCACACCGTTTAGATGCCATTGTTCCAGTAGTAAACAAATTGTCAATATCACCTTCTTAAAGAAAAGAGTAACTCTGAAGTATCCAGAGAGTATTCTGGTCTCCTCCATAAAACCACGGGGCAGTTACCAGGCAATTTCTCCAGGGCTGGTGCTGTATTACCCCCAGAACTCCCACGAGCTTCAGTGAGTGGTGTGTGACACCCCACTGATGCCGAAGAACTCACCTATTCACCGATGGCGGCACACATTTCATGAAAGCAAGTGGGTAAAAACACATGCAATAAAAAACATGTTGTGGGAGGAAAAGCATTGTAACGAGGAGTTAGAAGTCTTCAGCCTGGGACAAAGTCTTCAGCTTAAGATACTGTTCCAGCACTTTCTGCTTGTGACCTTGACCAAATCACTTGGCCACCCTGGGGCTTAGTTTCATCAAGCATAAAATAAAAAATAAGTAATTCGTGCCTTCTTTGTAGTTATGTTATCAAGATTAAAGTAAGTAACAAATTTGGGATGCCTGGGTGGTTCAGTTCATTAACTCTCCAACTCTTGATTTCAGCTTGGGTCATGATCTCAGGGTTCGTGAGATCGAGCCCCACATCGGGCTCCATGCTGATAGCACAGAACATGCTTGGGATTCTCTCTCTCCCTGTCTCTGTCTTCCCCTTCTCTACTCAAACACATGTGCTCTCTCTCTCTCAAAATAAATAAGCTTAAAAAATAGGTAACTAATTTGAAAATGTTTTGTAAATTAAAAAGATTTTATATATACACACATTTATATGTACATGAACTTCCATATGCTAATATATCCATATGTACAGGTATAGACATCAGCCTACAAATGCATACATGTTTGAACACACACACACACACTCGCGCTATAAACACACACATCATATATGTAGCTGGAAAATAAAATATGATCAGAAATTATAAAAATGTTAGTTGCCAGCACTTTTTACTAAAGATGTTTTTCTGAAAATTCCCCTCATCTGTATCTCTGTGAAACTTAGTCCTTAAGCAATCCTGTACTTTAAAGGTATTTATTTATTAGTTCATTCTAGCATCTTTAGGCCCCTCATTATTGATATATGCCTGTGGCTATGGCATTAAACAATCAAATATCAAACAGAACAGAATTTTGAATTTGCTTGATGTTTTTGCTCCCTGCTCAAACACTCATTTTCTCTACTTCTTTTCTAACCGAAATGACAGCAAAACGTCCCTTTAATATCCATTATTTAGAGATTTAAAAAAAATAGCATTGTAAGGAAAACTGGATGAAGACAGTCAGCTTTTGAGTCTTGAAAAACCCAATGTGAAGATATTTTATTATTATGTCTCAGGATCTTAGATTTCTGCTTATTTTTTAATGTTTATTTATTTTTGAGAAAGAGAAAAAGAGAGACAGAGTGCAAGAAGGGGAGGGGCAGAGAGAGAGGGAGACACGGAAACTGAAGCTCCAGGCTCTTAGTTGTCAGCAGAAAGCCTGATGCAGGGCTTGAACTCATGGACTGTGAGATCATGACCTGAGCCTGAGTCGGATCCTTAACTGGCTGAGCCACTCAGGCGTCCCTCTTAGATCTCTGCTTTAAAAAAATTCAGTTCTTGAATCTGGAAGTCTGAGATAATATCATAAAGCAAGTCTATAAATGTAAGTTCCTGCTAACCCAGAGCAGGAAAAGAATCTCTGGGCTGGGGAAACTGAGTCAGAGAGTAAGTATGACAAGTTGATGCTGGGGTAGGTCTTTGAGAAGAGGCCTGCTGGTGCTTCCTTCAACACCATGGGAAGCTTGAGATTTATAAGACTGGGGGCACCCCAAAAATAGAGGTGCCCAGGGCCCCCACCTTCTGATTTCCCTGGCAGTTGGCAAAGCTCTGAAGGCTTTAACCAGAGGCAAAACCCGCAAAGCGCGCTTGGGTGGAAAGGCCGGAGTTAGCCTCCCAAATGCTTTCTGTGCCTTGCATGGGCTCGAGGAGACGCCAAAGGCATTTTTTCAGTGGATGAGATGGTTATTCACAGTAACCTTGCAATTAACCAGGTGGGTGCACATTGAAATATGCTGCCTGCATGGTAACGATGACCGATCACCGGAGGGCTCCCCTCAAGCTAAGAATGGAGGTCGAGACTCAGGAACACAACCTAGAAGGAACGCTCCAGGGTTACACCCAATAAAAGTCCTCCATGATAACATAAATGTGTGTGCAAAGTTGCTCCTCCCCTCGCAGACCAAGAGGACTCGGGCCATGATTCAGTGGTGGTTCGTTGTGGTTCCCATGGTTTCCCCTAGTCGAATGTCACCATCACTGGGATGTCTGCTCACCTGGCCATCCTGGATGCTGTTGATCTTCCCTTTTGTGAGAAAGATGAAGTTGTAGATGAAGAGTAGTAATAAGGCCAGGGGGACCATGTACAGCTCAAAATTCCAGACAGTGATCAAAAATACCTGATGAGAGCACAAGACAAAATCGCTGCTTGAAAAATCAGTCTGGGAGTCATTTTAACACCCTTCTCCTTGACTTAACAGACGTTAAATCCAGGATGCTGTCTATGGCAGCTTATATGGAATGGTTACAGACAGATTAACAACCGCCCCCCCCCCCACAGACACACAGACACACACAGATACACACAGACACACACACAGACACACACACACACACACACACACACACTTCACACAATTTTAGAACCGGAAGTAAAATGAGGAAGATACAGAAATGAGTTGGCCAGTCTCACTCTGAAATGGACAGTACAGTAGCCCTGTACCTGGAAATCCCATTACTCTATCAACCATATTCAATTTTTTGCTCCTAGATTTACCAGAATTTAGTAAAGCAGTATGGAAAACTCCAAGGACTCAGAAAGGCAGATTTTGCCAACAATAAGGTTTACTTGAACTGTAAAGTGTGGTGATGACTTTTTAAATTGGCTGCCAATGGGGGCATCTGGGGGGCTCAGTCAGTTAAGCATCCGACTTCAGCTCAGGTCATGATCTCATGCTTCGTGAGTTCAAGCCTTGTATCAGGCTCTGTGCTAACAGCCAGCTCAGAGCCTGGAGCCTGTTTCAGATTCTGTGTCTTCCACTCTCTCTGACCCTCCTCGGCTCACACTATCTCTCTTTCTGTCTCAGAAATAAATTTAAAAAAAAAAACATTAAAAAAATAAATTTGCTGCCAATGTTTAAAATTCCAAATATTTCAGATAGAAACCTCAGAGAGCCAAAATCTCTTTAAAGAATCTTAAAATTTTATAATTTTGAGGCTGGCTGGTCACAAGGAAATCATGAGCTAGAACTGCTCATATCAAACCAGGTATGTGCTTTACCTGCCCAATTACTGTCAGCCTCGGAATTTGGGACACTTTCCTATAGAAAGACAAGCAAGAGCTTGGGTTTGAGCCAAAGTATCCATGTGACAATGGCCACTGGAGACATGAATACAAGTAAGACATGGCCCTACGTCCAAGGAACAAGCGAATTAGGACAAACATGAAAAAAAAAACCCATGATAATTAAAACATGAGGCAGGAGTGAAGTTGTGGGAAAATTATTTCAGACTTGAGCCTCACTTTCTTTTCCGTTTCACAGGTAGTTCAGAAGATAAAATAAGGTAATTTGTGGTTATCAACTGTTAGCTTGTGTTTGAAGAAGTTACTCTTGTAACAGGTCAACTTAGCAGAGGCAAATTATTGCATCTTAAATATTAAATCTTCCTCACCCAAAGCAATATTGTTTCAGCAATTACTGAAAAAATTTTCTTCCATGCTAGAGATTTATTTTTGTAGATATTATACATTTCCTGCTTATATTTTGTTTGCTATTCTGAATTTAATCATTCATTCCATTATACATTTCAAGCAGATAATTATTTGCTTATAAAAGCTAATAATTTGTACCTATTGATTTTTAAATTAGTAACATGACTGAATTTTGTACTATTTCAAGTAGCTTTTCATTTCACTTGGGGGGGGTGGTTCTAAGAATATAGTTTACAATCCGCAAATGACCTGCTTTGTTTCCTCTTGTCTAATATCTACAACTTTCTGATATGCATTAGAAATTTACCTTTATTACTAACTAAACAATTTTAAATAAAACTGTTGAAAGGGCTATCATTGTCTAACTCCTGAATTTAATGAAAATGCTTCTATTTTTCTATCATTAAGCATGATGTTGACTTTTAGTCTGAGCTATGTAAATCATTTCACGTTAGGCAGATAATCAACCATTTTTAAACTAGAAAGTTGACACACATGCCCATAATAACCCATTTTTAAACTAGAAAGATAATATCTAGGCATTCATTTTATTATTCTTAATATTTAAAAATATATTTTATGAATCCTCTATGAAAACATTTGAAAAAGGAAAATCTTTTGAAAATAAGAATACTTATATCAATTTTGACAAGGATTTATTTCTTATTTTTAAAATCAGGAATGGAAGAGGGTGGGTTATTAACTAATTATTCTTTTACTATCTTTTGAAATAAGGAAGGTTTTTTTTCCTTTTCATTTTAGAACCTCAACATGGTGAATTATATTTATAATTTCCTAATATTGAAGTAAACTTGTATTTCTGGAAGAAACCTCCTCTTTACTGGATTGTAATACTCTTTTAATATACTCTTGTGCTTGCTAACACTTGAAGATGTGTTTGCACAGATACCCATGTGTTACATGTGTTAACTATTTAACCTGTTTATATTATTTTTAGGTTCTAGCATCACCATTATTTTGGTACACTCCATTCTTTATCTTTGCCTAGGATAATTTTTTCATGTCATATTACTAAATAGTCCAAGAATGAAAAAATTACACAGACTAATTTAACTAGTGCCCATGTACCCACACCTAATAAGCCTTGTCAATGTGCTTTTATTTCCATTATGTATTATTCTTCCTTTTTTTTTTTTTTAAGTAAAACACGTAAGATAATTGTTTCTCATTGTTGATCATCACCTGCTGCCTCAACCTGCTCTTCCCATTCCCAGAAGCTAATCAAAAATGGATGTGAATCCTTGCCATCTAAGGACATTGAAGGTTTATAATAGAAATAACATAACATCAAAATGTACCTATCATTCTAAAAATTTTTTTATTTAATATATTTCTTAGATTTGTTGATGGTGTAGGTATAAATCAACTACGTTCATTTTAACTAGTACATGGTACCCCATTCAAATAAGGTTCTGGAATTTACCCATTATACTCTCTTATCATTGAAAACTTAGGTAGAAACAGCAGTTGTATTATTTAATGTGGTCAAACATATTCATCTTCAATCTTAGATTTTGTACCTTTAATGTTCAAAGTTCTACTTAAGGAATCATATTCCACTCTGAGATGATAAAGTTATTTCATCATGTTTTCTCCCAAAAGACAATTGTCTGTGGGTTCCTTATTTTGCCTCCAGTGTTTTTTGGTTTATAGATGGAAACAAGCTTCCAATCTGAACTTTTCCCTTTGAGCCAACTTTTACAACCAGATTGTGGTACTGATCCCTATTTTTGTACTGTTTTTATCGCCATTTCTGCTATGTACCAAGTCCCACATGAGAGTGTTTACTTACGTGCACAATAATCCTGCCCATTGGTACATATTTCTATTTTACCAAGACCACATCTTTAACTCTAGTTTAGTAACCAGATGACATATAAGTAAGCAAATCTCTTTTACTTCACTTTCAAATTTATCTTGGATAATTCTTCGTACTTGACCCTCCCACATGTATTTTTTTTTTATTTTTATTTATTTATTTTTTTACAAATAGTTTATTGTCAAATTAGTTTCCACATAACACTCAGTGCTCATCCCCACAAGTGTCCTCCTCCATGCCCATCCCTCCTCCATCAGTCCTCAGTTTTTGTCAGCATTCAAGAGTCTCTCATGGTTTGCCTCTCTCCCTTTCCCCCACCATTTCCTCCTTTCTTCTCCCCCTTGTTCCTCTTTTAAGTTCCTCCTAATCCTCCTATACGTGCAAATATATGATATTTGTCCTTCTCTGCCTGACTTATTTCGCTCAGCATAACACCCTCAAGGTCCATCCATGTTGCTATATATGGCCAGATTTCATTCTTTCTCATTGCCACCACATGTATTTTAGAATCAATGTGTAACATTCCATAAAATTCTTGGGCAAAGTTTCATTGGGATAGCTGTGAGTGTATGTATTGATCTGGAGAGAAGTGATATCCTGACATTGGCTTTCTGAATCATGAGGATTATTTATTTCTCCATATATTCATGACTTTTATATAATATCTCAAAATATTTTATTACTTTCATCTTACTGACTTTGCATATGTTTTATTATTTTTCTAAGTAACTTAACAGTTTTGATACTATTACAAATAGGGTCCTTTTAAACTTATATACTTTATTGGTTACTTTGGGCACAGGCGTACTGATTTTTCTATGTTGTTCACATCATTTCTGACCCCGCTTATTAGTGGTAGGACATTTCTTTTCTTTTTAAAGTTTTTTAATTTATTTTGAGAGAGACAGAGACAGAGCAAGGAGGGAAGGTGTAGAAAGAGAGGGAGAGTGAATCCAGAACAGCCTCAGCACTGCCAGCACAGAACCGGATGTGGGACTCAAATCCACAAAGACATGAGATCATAACCCGATCTGAAAAAAAGAGTCAGATGCTTAAGTGACTGAGCCAACCATCTAGGTGCCCCAGGAGATTTCAAATGTATCCTTTTGGAGATCTGATGTGGAAAATCATATAAAGCGTAAATTATGACTTTCTTTCACCTTCCAATCTATGTGTTACTTACATATTCTTGTAGTGCTAAATCTCTATACTTTGAAAAAATAAGGAAGTATAGAATTTTTGAAATACTTTTTGAATCAATGCATATCATGATGTTATTAATTTTCTCCAGTCTATTAATCTGGTGTGCTTTATCAGCTTTATTTCCTATTTTATAATTTATATTTTCCTATTAAGTTTCTTTTTAAAGGTTTCTTTCTTTTACTTTTATGTCTTGCTTTGCTATAACAGAAACGACATAAAGAAAAGTAGAGAAAAATAGGACAGTGATTACTAGGGAAAGCCACATATTTTCCTAATTGTTATCGATTTCCCTTTCCTAGTTCTTAAAGTTCTTTTAGGATTAGGAGTTTTAACTGTAATCTAAGTCATTACTAGTTCTTAATGTCTACTGGATAAGTGGAATTTTATTGTTTTTCTTATATTGCTAAGTATAACTTTAAGTGAAAAGAGGCTGATAAGAAACCGTTGGGAAAAATTAGAAAATGGCATATTTGTAGTTTATTTTCTTCATCATAAAGCTATTTGTAAAATGTCTTTAACAAAATTACTTGCACATCAACTACTATTATAGGGATGTTGTGCTAGATAAACACCTCATTTGCTATAAGATTTGCCTCTATCAAGTATAGTTAAGTAATACCAGAAAGTATTTTACAACAAAAATG